AATTAATGTTCAATGAAATTTTGTGTGCTGTAAGTTTTTTTTCTGTCAACAACAGAGAGGTACCCTGGTTCCAGAGGTTTGATATTTTCTCTCTTTGCTATGTAATCGAGGCATTTGGCTCGGCCTTACGGCCTCGAATACGGCGCTTCGCGCCGACAAAAAMCATAGCGAAGAGAGAAAATACCAAACCTCTGGAACCAGGGTAACAGAGAAGATGTTATCACTCTTGTCAGTGTTTTAAACTATGTCAAGCACTCGATAGTTGACTTAGCAACTACGAAATGTGGTACAACATAGTGAATCGGGTCTCACTTTTCAAGATGGCTGACTTATTGTTCTCCGAAACTCCTGATGAGGCTATGGATGATCAAACTCGCGCTTTTATTTTGTCTATTTTGATACAAGGATATAACCAGCTATCCTTAGAAAAATAATATAGCTATAGATTTAAAAGCTTTACAGTACAAACACTAAAACTGTGCAACACAAATACCACTCAATTCTGCTAAATTATGCTAATTCTATTGTTTTCTATTGTTAACACTATTTTGTAGTAAATAGTGGAAAGTGTTGCACACATTTAATGTTTGTACTAAATTTCTTTAAAATATCATTTACTTATTGATTGAGAGCTTGTGCCTTACAGACCGAGCCCGGCGGCTCCCATGATGTTTCCTTATTTCTCACCGATCATAGTATTAATATCGCTTCTCGTTCTATTTCGTGTAATTTATTAATATCAATATTTTCTTTCTGATCATATGAGCCGTGTTTTTTAAGCTCGATTAGCGCTAATCATCATGGGTTAACTCAAGAAATTAACTAAGTTTATTCCCTGATGAAGGATTGCAAGTTCGAAAGCGTGAAGCAYACAGTGAACAGATTTAACGTCGACGTTTGTATYTATTAACATTACAAAAAAATYRMGCGCGMTCGGAAAAGCTAAAGGAAAATATCAATTAAGTAAACAACTCTTGCAATMAAAATATTCATAACTAAAAATTAACTCTGATAAAACCCTACACATGTCAAAGATACAATTAACCATTCAGGATATTTTTACTTCATAATGATCGTTAAAAAGCTCCTCCCGCTTAAACATCTCTACAAGCGCGCATAGCTATCATTCAATTAACTATTGAAGCAAYATCACTTACCTTTAATGATTGTGTAAAAACAACAAGTACTTAACTCAACAACTTGTAGAGATTGATATTTGATGAATATAATGCTTCAGCTTATTGTGCGAAAGATGAACATTGTTACTTCCGGACGGAATAATCAACGAAACAATTTCCGTTACTAAAAAATGCCATTTGAGAAGTGATGACAGATCCCAGAACGCCACAAGTATATCACGATTAATCGCGATATTCCATACTCGATTTCAATCCCGGGGGAAACTCCCTCTAAAGGTARGTAAAATCCTCGCATACATTTTAGGGTCCTGAGCTGATTTCGAACATCGAAAAAGAATTGAAGAAGTGTTATTTAACAATTAGAACTCGAGGTCGAGTGGACTACAAGCTAATAGCTATTAGYTCGTAGTCCACGAGGCCGAGAGGTCTAATTGTTTTAGTATAAACATACTAATCGGTCAAATAATGAAAACAAATTGAAATATCCTTAAAATAATTTATAATTTATAATATATTTATTTTTGGTTGTCCGGGAGTGGTCTATCACAAATTAGACCATTAGTAGAGTAGCCAATCACAGCGCAGTATGAGTGATAGACCATTAGTATGTTTATACTAAAAAGAAATAGATTTTATTGACCTCAACAATCTATCGACATTGATTTTCGTGAATGTTCGGAATGCGAGTGTATTTGATGAAATCAGTGTGTATATATAACAATTTTAAATTTAAAAACAGTGTTAAATGTKTTTGTACTTTTTAGGGTCTGGAATCGATAACTGGGTTAATTTATGTGTACCCTTTTTTGGTTATTTTTCAATCTATCCGTCGAGCAGACTTACCAACTTTCATAAGGAAGTCCATCCCCCCTCCCTTTAATGAATCGTGTTTTGATATATGTATTATAAATGATTATTCATATYAAAGAGGCAAGATTTTGCTGTAACGCCGAGTTTCGTGCTATGCACTCATCAGACAGTATTTTTTAAAATACTGTCTGATGAAGTGCGCAGCACGAAACTCGGAGTTACAGCAAAATCAGTGCCTCTTTGATATCATATATATAACTAGCTCTACACTTTATGTGTATTGAGCACTCTTTAATGGGATCAGCCACTTCCTCATACGACTGATTATTCATGTATATTTTAGTCGATATGCAGTTACAAAAATCTTATTCGTTAGAACACATACTAAGCTATATTTCTATGCCAAAACTAAAGACAAAAACACTTTTAAAGCGTTCCATTTTCCTTCGAAGATCGAACCACTGCGTATGGCCCTCATAAAAATAATGTTGCTATGAAAAAACTGTTGTTTTYCCATTTGGCTCAGCGCTTTTATAAACAGGTGTATTTTTTCTTCCAATTTCTATAATCCGATGCAATTTTTTYATACTCGGATCGAATTGTAAAGCTTCCTGTCTGTCGCAAATATATCTTTTCCATCATTGGTTGATAATAATGATTTTTTTTTTCAAATTAATTAATTGTCACTTACAAAACCATCGAATCGTAAAATCAAATAAGCACAGAACTAATATTGAGCAGAACTAATATTGAGGAACAAAATTTATATTCATTGTCAATAAAATTCGATTGATGCAACGAACGGTGCCTCAAAATATACTGACAGCTGTAAGATGAGCSAGACACTTCAGAAACGCTAGCTCATGAGACAAATATCACGAAGGAATGAATAATATGACAGAGCAGGTGCACGTACATGGAACCCAACCAAGCGTTATACTTTCATTTTCTTAATGCTTCATTTTGGTATTATAAACCAATTTTAACTCCATGCACTGGCTCTAATATTATATTTTTAGAAAGCAAATCGAAAATAATATATTACCTGATTCTATTTTCAAAAAAAGTGGGGTTCGAAGGCACAATATATCTCTCAGAAGTGAATAACTCAGAGGTAAATCTCAATATCCTTTTATCGCCGAGATTATTGTAAGAATATGAMTCGTTTTAAATGCAGATTATAGTTTTCTATGTTTAATATATCATATGGAAGGGAAATTCTGCGGGAAAATAACCGCATACTCCAAGAAATATTATATTTTCCTTGATTTTCCTCAATTCGCCGAATAAGGTGTGCGGCAAAACAAACTAAAATATGATGTTTACTGCATGAATGTTTGAAAAGACATTTGATTACATGAAATACCAAAAATAGCAAAAGACAGTGTGCATATTGCCATGAAAGTAATAAAATTACCTTTTTGACTCGTGGAATATTGTACTACCACGAAATCCCTTCAAATATTATTGATGCATCTTTCTTTGAGAACCACAAAGTTGTGAAATTTTTAATGCCAGACGCATATTAGCAGATCGATATGACAAAACGTCATACGGGCAGCCAATGAAACTGCGGAGCATGGGGCAGATATAAGATACAGCGATTTCCAAAAAAATCTGGCCGCTGCCAATGGTAACCCAGTCTCAATACTGAACTAAGTATTAAGTATGTCGCATATAAATGTTCGCACAATATTTTTTTATGATATAATTATCTATGAAATACCTATATTCCTCCATTTCGTAAAGTTGATATTTTCACTATTGAAACTGAATAACAAATTCGAGTTTTTTCACCGTCTATATAGTGGAAGTAAGAAAAAAGGTATTTTACGACATTATTGGCTTTTATATGTAATTATATGCCAGTAAACAGAATATTAAATAGTCTCTTGGAGATACGAATTTTATCTTCTCCCCGGGGGGGGGGGGGGGGGGTACTCCCATATATTTGCTATACGGGGACGTGCCGCTGGCCAGGGTATGGTTTTTGGGTATACATTTCACCCGAAATTGTCTTAAACAGGCTCTACAATTTCGATAAAAGAGACCGATATAATTTTTTTTGTGTGTCTTGTACAGGGTAATATTTTCATAACACCGTAGAAATACCGTTTCACTGTCCCAGAATTAACGTGTTATCAAAGACTTCTTATTGTCTTTGATGGATRTCAGTATAATTGCAKTTTTGATGGTTGCGGCGTAGATAGCTATTCCTTATTTTTCCGATTTGTCTTGAACAGGGTATGGATTTTTACTTTTTAGTGTCTTAAACAGGGTCAGGGATTTAGACCGCTGGCGGCACGTACAAATGTCTGATCTAACTACAATAGAGATGTAATCTGTAGTAAGTCGTTCGCTCTGTCGTCCTAGTGCATGAACGTTTGAGACCGAATTAATCTTAAAACTAATAATGATTGAGAGACATCGAAAAAACGAATGGTTTTCGCTAATTTTTAGACTAAAATAGTGCCCAAAAAAATTTCACATGGTTTTTTTTTTATTGTATAAACCTAATTACACAAACGTTGTTACTATTTAGGAATTAATCAAAATACAAAAGAAAGTGTTGGGCTTCAGTGGTCATGTTTTGTCTTTTTTAAAATACTATACAAATACATTAAAATGTATTCCTAACTTCCTAAATCCCTAAATCTCAGGACAACGTTTTCGTAATTAGGTGTATCTTCTTATCAAAATGTTCAAAACTCGAACACCTAGTTGCTGCAAAGTTGCTGCGCTTGTCTAATGTGTCCATTTGAGTTTTGAACATTTTATGACGTCACGAGTGTGTGTCACGTCAATGAAAAAAACCCTCAAAATCCTGCGCAATTTGTTAAGAACACTGAGAAGATTATACAAGATTCAAGCAGAGATAGGTCTTTTTATTTCTCACCCTGGTACATTCTAAATTCTGAATGTAAAGTTTTCTTAATCCCAGTAATAAATCTACAAGATTTGTCGTCAGTTGCCTAGTTACCAGCTCTTCCATCATAATTATACGCTCCATATATGGTCAGTGACGTCATTTACACACAAGAAACATGGCGGCGCGAGCTGCATATGAAACTTTTTCGAAATAGAATTTTACTTCTGACGTTAAACCATTGCCTTACATCTCTCTTAATTAACTTTTTGACTCGATGTAACTGTAAAATAATCTAGGTTTAAGTCAGAAATTCGTTTATTATCATCAAGAAAAACAAGGATTTAATATGGTTGTTCTTAACAACCGCACTCGTTACTGTCAACACACAGCCAGGAAATCGTTCCTTCGCACTTCTATTTTCCCCGAAAGTCTCAAGATACAATGCTAAATCCTCCAAAATTAGGAGTTTTTATTAGTTGGAGCAAAAATCTCTTTTATTTATAAGGTGAGTAATCAAAATTCCTCAATTAGTTTTGTTTCTCGTGAGGTTAATGCTCGCAGAACAGCAGGCCGGTCAAGGAACCTTTAAGTTAAAACCCTTCAAAACTCAGCCAAATCTAACAATCCTTAATGATAACCATTGCTTGATTTATCTATATTTTTGAATTCAGAGCATAAATATAACAGAAATTGAATTATTTATTTGTACATATGATATATTTTAAATCAAAATTGAACATTGTTTCCCTAAACTACTATAAAATTGCTCGAAATTTTGAGCTAAAGATTCGCGTCAAGTACATGGATTGATCTCTTTTTGACGTTAGGTCAAGGAAAAAGAATTGTTTAGTGTCCGTATGAACTAAACAATTCATCTTGATGTGGTGAATTTTATTGTATAGCTTAGATGCTAAATAAATTGTATGAAAATATTATAGCTTTAAAACACTATCCTGTTTTGTTATTTATAATAAAATGCACATATCTCTCTTCTAAATGCACAACAACTAGCACCTGCAATCATTTTTGGACATTCATGTCAAAACTTTTTCATTTAGTGTGGTAGTTTGGTTATTTGACTACCAAATTTGATTCTCGGGACAAGTGTTGTGCAATAAGCCTAGGAAATATTTATTTAGTCTGAGTCAGGGATTACAGATTTGAATTTCAGATTAAGATATATGATCTGTGGTCATAAAAAGAGGATTTTTGCAAGTTGAGCTGTCTGCATGACTGATTAAGTTATGTTAAATACACTCGATGCTTATGTTTAATCGTAATTATGTATTGCTTAGAATATTTCTAGAAAAATCAAATGTATTATTATCTAGATGTAAAAGCTTCATAAATGGAAATGGCAGCATTGACAAGCCTYTTATTGACAGATATCACTATCAGCAATCTATGATAGTACATTGCACAAAGTAACTTTTGGTTGTGCATTTACAAATATCAGCCCATTACCCCTTTTCAAAAGAGTTTATAAATCACTTGGAGTATCATGTGACAGTTCTATCGAACAACCAAAAGCTTTTGGAAATTATTATATATTTCACTACTAAAGTCAAATGAATCAAATGTTACTGTGCTACAATAATATGTTTATTGTAAAGTGTAGTGCTATTTAATGTCACTCATTATTTTTATTGGTAATGGTAGAAGTTTACAACTTAAACTTGAAAGTGCCACTGTTAGATTTTTGAAAATTTCATTACATTTTCAATTATTAAATTCTTGATTCATTAAGAATGTAAATTTACATTGTATATATAATTATTTATCCATCCCTTATTCAAAAATACATGTTTATGATAATAGTGACTTTCATTTATTTTTGTTTTTGTTTTGCAGTTAAATTAACATCTAAAATAAACAACATGGCAGAAGCTGTTAAAGTCATAGTTCGCTGCCGGCCACTTAACCAGCGAGAGAAAGACCTAAAATGTGACGTAGTTCTTGAAATGGATGGCAATTCAGGCCTTTGTACATTACACAAACCAGGAGACAAAACACAGCCACCTAAAAACTTTACCTTTGATGGGGCATATTATATGGATTCCACGACAGAGGGAATATACAATGATATATGTTTCCCTCTAGTTGATGGTGTACTTGAAGGTTATAATGGGACGGTTTTTGCATATGGCCAAACTGGTTGTGGAAAGTCATTCAGCATGCAGGGCATCACTGATCCACCAAGCCAAAGGGGAATCATTCCAAGAGCTTTTGAGCATATATTCGAGACAGTACAAGTTGCTGAAAATTCCAAATTTCTCATCCATGCATCTTATTTGGAGATATATAATGAAGAGATCCGTGATCTACTTGGAAAGGATCATAAATCAAGGCTAGAGCTTAAAGAACATCCTGACAGGGGGGTGTATGTTAAGGATCTATCCATGCGTCCTGTTAACAGCAGTACAGAAATGGAACATGTGATGGATCTTGGAAGTAAAAACAGATCTGTCGGAGCAACACTTATGAATGCAGATTCGTCTCGCTCTCACTCTATCTTTAGTATATTCATTGAAATATTGGATACTGCTGATGATGGAAGTGAGCACATTCGTGCTGGGAAATTAAACCTTGTAGATTTAGCTGGAAGTGAAAGGCAGTCCAAGACGGGAGCAACAGGAGACCGACTCAAGGAAGCCACCAAAATTAATCTCTCTTTGTCTGCCCTTGGTAATGTGATTTCTGCTCTTGTTGATGGAAAAGCAAAACATATACCTTACCGTGATTCTAAACTTACTCGTCTGCTGCAGGTAAGATTTAATGGAAAAAAGTCCACTTTTAACAATTAGACCACAAGGTCAAGTGGAGTACAACATTTGATTGTTCATGAGACTGAGTGTTTTTATAATCCACCAAACTATAGAACAAATAATTGAGAAAAATACCACTACTTAAACAATATCAATATTTTGGCTTCATCCAATGCTACTACTATGGTATGTCATAAATATACCATAGTTTAGTAGCCAATCAGAATGATGGATTTGCGATACTTAAGCATACAGTTCCATAGGTGATTGTCTTTAGTAGCAAGGCCTTATTTACATATAAGTAAGATAGGAGTAGAGCTTGCAATGATACAAAGCTGTGACTGAATTGTTTAAGGTTTGAACAAAAGGTCACTGCACGCTCAACTTATTTAAAGAGACTGTCTAAAATGATCAAGGAAAGACTAGCATGTAAAAATATATGGACAAACAATTGCACACTTTACTGTCAACACACAGCCTGGAAATCGTTCAAAGTGAGGCAGCAGTTGAGCTTGCAATGAGATTGATGCCTGTGAAGAATTGTCWTWGGTGYGAACAAAAGGTATCTATCACTGCAGGCTCAACTCCTGTCAAGTTTGGCTGYCTTTCAGACGGCAAGTGGAGTATACTCCAKTTTCRAGATCTTATTTGTKTARCCTTAACCTYGAAAGCATGTAATATATTCTTTTATTSAGCAGAGATCCTATTGTAATGCWAACACTCTGTGTACAAAGAAGACAATRAAWATKYATGCTTGATTGAAGCTAATCTTGCACAATTTAAGARAATTCGAAACTGGAGTATTGGGATTTAARARCTRKRTGCATTTTATCATGCTTACACTGTTCTACTAAAATATCAAAAATTTTAAATTATTATTGGGATTCCTGTGTTAAAAGAGCATCATGCTGTAATCTAACAACWCAGGGGCTGGTAATATAAAGTTTATGCAGCAATAGAGGATAAATTTACACTGAAAGTAACAAGTAATTTTATTCCCTGTTGGTTTACATTGTTTTTTTTTCCAAGAGGTGGTAATATTCTGTCTTAAGGACTACAGGCTAGCAAAACAACAGTGTTCAAAATTCATGTGTTCAGAGCTACATTAAAACTAACCCAAATGAGAAATGCATACTACAAAAATGTCAATACTCCAGTTTCGAATTCTCTTTTGTGCAAGCTTAGCTTCAATCAAGCAAATGTTTTCATGTTCTTTGTATACAGAGTGTTTGCATAATAATAGTATATCTGCTTAAATAAATAGAGGATATTACATGGGCGCGCGGAGATACGGGTTTTATCTTCGAGTGTTGAAAAGAAGAAGATAAAATTCGTATCTCCAAGCGACCATGTAATATTCTATTTATCATATAATTGTATATGAAAGCAAATCATGTCGTAAAATAGCTTTTTCCTTGCTTCAACTATATGGAGAAACCTCGAATGTGTTATTTTCACTAGAAATGTAGAAATATCGGTGTTTCATAGATAATTATATGATAAAAGAATATTATATTAAATGCTTTCGACGTTATTATAAACGTGAGTATAAACGTGTTATCATTATTATTGTACATGTATATGGTACTGAAATGAGTGTCAACATTCATTTTTTCAATTTATTTTCTATAAATAGGACTCTTTGGGCGGAAACACCAAAACTCTAATGGTAGCTTGCCTAAGTCCTGCGGACAACAACTACGATGAAACGCTGAGTACTTTGCGATACGCCAACCGTGCTAAGAACATAAAGAATAAACCCAAGATTAATGAGGATCCCAAGGATGCTTTGTTACGAGAATATAAAGAGGAAATAGAAAAACTGAAAAAGATGTTAATGGGACAGATGGAAATTCCCACTGGCTTGTTAGGTAAGGGAATATAAACGTTTTTCATRTTAAGGGTAGATCTGGCGGGTAATAAGGGTGGTTAGCCACACCCCTATTWTTTACCGATCCCTTCTTCACATTGATTAATCACCAAACAATGAGAGCAGTTTCCCCAGTGAAATTGAAACTGTCCGAACAACAAACGCAAAATCGAATATTTTTACTAAATTCATTATCTTTTCCTKATGAAAATGTAAAAAAACATATAACACAAGGCAAGTTCCTACATATCGCAGCTATCGGTATCTAATTTTCCATGCTCTACATGTATATAAAAGGAATATGTTCGCTTGTCCGACGTAGCAACAGCAACATAGGACAATGAATCGGGATCGGTCAATTATTTTTGTTTGTTTGTTTTTATTATTTTTTTTTTTTTATATATATTAAAATATTTTTTATTAAATTATCATTATTGTTATTGATTATAATGTATAATTAGGACGACAATGACGTTTAGTAGAAGAAGACGTTTAGTAGAAGTCAGTGTTCATGTGATTTTGTTTTCTAGATAGCTCCTCTTCTGCAGTGGCCGTCCCWCAAAAATCAATGACCCGTCGACTTTCTCAAGAACATGCTCTCGCGGTGCAATCGGAGACCGAGAAGTTACGACAAGAGTACGAAGCAAAGATCTCCGACATGAAGACGCTCTACGAGGCCGAGCAAATGTCCAAACAAAAACTACAGGCAGAAATGGATCGCTTAAAGGGCGATTACAACAAGAAAGTTCATGATATTGAAGAACACTATGCTATCGAGGAAGGTTTGATCGACAAAGATGACATAACGAATGGAATGACTTCTGTTACGCCGGACTATGGYGCGAGTGATATGAGTGTTATTGCTTTAGACGAGGTAAGACATTTATATTGCAGTGGAACCTCGTTAATCCGGCCACCCAAGGGACTCCGAAAAGTTGCTGTATAAACTTGGTAGAAAAGTTTGGGACCTAAAATTTTGGTCGTTATGACGGGGTGRCCGTATTAAGMKGGTGGTCGTAAGGCGGGGTTCCACMGTATTTCCATTTTCTTTTTTTTCWTTTTTAAGTTTAGTAGGAAAGTYGCGCGCGTATGTCATATCATGCAAATCGAACTGCAATTTTCTTTTCAGTCTTAATATAATGYAAACTGACATCCTCACCCTCCCCGTAATTCTAATAGCCCACTTTCGATATTTTKGTTGACTAACMACGAACAAAAGTATTGAGGACGAGGYTTAGGGGWAATAATAGTATATACAATAGTCATAACKTATGCTAATTCCTTTGTTTCCTATTGTCTCATCAACACTGTTTARTAGTAATTAGTACTATTTGTTTCACAGATTAACTGCCTCCACTCTAAATAAATCCATTTGTTAACCAAACCCCATTTTACTTTAAGGCCCGACGTGTTTCTGAATCCCACGCAAATKTGGCAAATGACCCGTCARTSCTCCAGAAGCTYCAAGATAAAATGCATAAAGGCATCGATTCCATACAACACTCGTCTACTGCAGCTCTWCACATGTTACAAGATAAAGTCAACAAAGCCAACYTAAATGCAGCCATGGCAGATACAAAGGGAGCCCAACAGGAAGCTTTGAAGAGACTTCAGGAACTCCAGGAAAAAATGGTYGGAGGAGAGAAGAAGGGAGATCAGAAATTGAAAGAAAAGMGAAAAGCTAGAAAAGCCTATGCTAAAACTAAAAARGAAAAACTTTTTCTTGCAGCTAAGAAAATGGATGACGAGGGAATTTCAACTATGGTTCAGGTATATGATTCGCTACAGGATGAGATTAAGTTCAAGACGCGACGCATTGACAAACTTGAGAAGCAGTTAGCTAGTGTGCAAACCGATGTCGATGATCTTCAAGAAGAATTCGAACGTGACCGYGAAGATTACCTCGATACTATACGAAAACAAGAACAAACGTTAAAACTCCAACAGCAAATACTAGATAAAATCCAGCCGTGTATTCGTAGRGACTGCAATTACTATAATATCGACCGTGTCAAAGCCGAGTGCGTCTGGGACGAAGAYAATGGTAAGTGGAATCTCCCGGATCTTGTGGTCTCGAAAACAACACTTCCTACTCCTGGTGGAATTATGCCTGGGGGTTCTCCTCAAATGAGGCGAAAGTCCCCTACTGGAAGACCACAGATGGSCCCCCAAGGGCAGATAATGAATGGGTACTCAGGTGCAGGGTTATATGAAGATCCAAGGGAGGACCGTCTCCTTCATCATCTATCGAAGAATTCTCACGAAGAACTGGCCGCTAACTATTTCAAACCAAAAAGAGCGGAGAAACTTCTTTCTCATAATAATCGTTTTGAACAAATAGACAGACGAGAAGCGACCTCCCCAGTAGGACCTAGACATACAAGCTCTTTTGCATCTGCGCCACCSCCACGGGTTTTTGGTTCGACCCAAGCCCCAAGTCAACAAGATGGACTAGTTTCCAGGCCCGTTCGGCTTGAATCTCTAAACATGCCAACGGAGAAGGAGAGAAAAAAGAAAAAGAAAAAACAATCTCAAGCAGACGATCGACGGCGGGAAGATTTTTGGTAGTTAGACATTGTATTATATTGTTAATTTATAATTTACCAAAAAACTGCCAGCGGGCTTCCTGTGGTCGTCATTTATATATACCAGTCTCTTCTAGAATCGCTTCGACCACTGGAGGGTCAAATKTTATTATAGATACGCATGTATTATTGTAGTAAATAGATAGGGAATTCACCAAATTACGTAAGTAATTGGTATTGTTTGAATTTTGCGAATAGGTGGAAAAATACCCCTTTTTTATTTGTTATTCCAAAGAGTGCAAATTTTTGTAAATTTACAAAGGTTGGTGTACATAGAATTAATTTATTGCCATATCAATGTATGTTTAGTATCAATCGATGAGCATAATCTGAAGTTTGACGTCCATTGAAATAAATTATACTCGAGGATTTTCCTGTATCGTTTTGCATCACATAAGGCTTTTCCATACAGAGAGGTCTGGAAAAAGGGAGAGAGCGCTGTTATAGTAGACAATAGACTCGTCTGTGCAAATATTTTRTCAAAAACAAAAGAAACATCCCACTCCCTTTAGAGCTGCCACGCAGGCTATTCTAAAACTCATTAAAGATGCATGAAATATTACTCCAATGAGGCCTATTTGATCAGGTGACTGACCTTGTAAATCTGATACAACACTACTTGTGTTGTATCAGATTTACAACAAGGTCGTCACCATTGTGACAACCCAACACTAGCAAAAGTCTCTATTTTAATATAGCCTCACGGACCTTCACTAGATTTTGAATCAAGCGAACGCAGATAGGACCACTCCTTTATTCAACAGATGGCTTGCTTTCCATCTGGGATATAGAGGATATTACATGGGCGCGCGGAGATACGGATCTTATCTTCGAGTGTTGGAAAAGATCTCTCACGAGTGAGCGTAGCGAGATTTTCAACATGAGAAGATAAAATTCGTATCTCCAAGCGACCATGTAAWATTTTAGTAAGTTTTTCCACATACTTTTTTACGGTGTTAAATTTATCTTTGTACATAACTGTTTCTTTAGAAACACCGACGCAGCTCACACTAGTTTACCGCTAATTCCCACCATGTAATATTCTGTTTATCATAAAATTACATATGAAAGCAAATTATGTCGTAAAATACATTTTTTCTTGCTTTTACTATATTGAGAAACCTCGAATGTGTTATTTTCACTTGTGAAGATATCAATTTTACGAAATGGAGAAATATAGGTATTTCATAGATAATCAGTATTAGAAAATGATAAAAATAGTTATTCAAATTGTTCCCGGTTTCAGTTAATTGTGCATGCTTAATAGCGACTAATATTAGTTACCTTATTCGTCATTTTTCATCAGTTGTCTCAATGTAATACTTCATTTTGGAATTCAAAACGAATAACCGCTGTTTTATTTGACAGCAGATTCTCTTAGGCAAAGAGCTTACCAAACACAAAACAAAGCACCAGAAAAAAATGTTAGTACAATAGCGCAAACAATTTGCATTTTCCCCGAGTTGAGGCTAACCCTGTATTCCCCAGAAGGCTCGCACCGTACTAGAGGTTATTGTAATAACGAAATTTTCTCGTGCTCTCTTTTGTGTTTGGTCAGGTCTTTGCGCAAGAGAATCTGTTGTCAAATAAAGCAGCGGTTTTTTGCTATGAATTCGAAAATGGAGTTTTCACGTTAATTATTATTGGCGTTTCAGAAGTCGTTTACGACATTCGCGTCCATGCATGTTAAGGCCGATTTAGACGGTACAATTTTTGCCTATAACTATCGCATGCAACATGCGTAAGTCATCCTTACAACATGGCTACAACTGTCGTAGAGATTAAAAACAATTGTTTGATAACCCTACGACAGTTGTACCCATGTTGTAAGGATGACTTACGCATGCTGCATACGATAGTTGTATGCAAAAGTCGCAACATCTAAATCGGCCTTTATATGGGAATTACAAGCCTCGCCTGCGGCTAGACATACAACACGATCGCGAAAGTTGTAAATTATGCTTACAAGAAAGTGCTGGTATAATCTTCTGCTGAAGATGGTCTATTAAGTAACAATGCGCGTAAGAAGCAGGCAACTCTCTATTGTTCTGCGGCAATTRCAACTTCCCCACATACGAATGTCTTGGTTTTCACACTGATTATATATCAACCTATGGGTAACACATTTTTGAAAATTTGGCATGGATAAACTGTTTTGAAACAAAGTTTCTTTTGTATTAAAAGATCTTGTCCAATCATGCAAGGACTATCCTCGCGCGCCTCAAATGGCCGCCGCTAAATTATGCCGTGTGCATACTCTTGTTATTTATTTTGTTTTGGCTYTATTAACTTTAAATTTCTACATTCATTTTCAAAGTTATGGTCAATGTGATCATAATTGTTCGTCCTCTTCCTTGGTTTCTGCACGTATTATTGTCAAGTTTGTGTTTTCGTCGTATCGTCCGTTACGTTTCAAGTGTATCAAGTTGATTTCTACTGGTTTCAAAAAGTCCTCTTTTGCTGTTACAAAGACAACTAAACATGGCGGTACGACTCTATCTATTMCTGGACATGACCCGCCGACTGATATTACTATTTCTATGGACATTGAACTTAATCCTGGCCCTACAACGTCTAAAAGTAACTCTGATCAATTACCGTTAATTTTGAATTCCACATCTGTGCTGTCTACTAATTCCTGTAACTCATCATCGTTTTGTGCTTCGTTGAATTGTTCATCGTCAAATTGTCAAACTCTGTCAGATAAACGTTCTCTTTTGCATGCTAATCAAGTTAATGGAGCTCCGCATAATTTTTCAACACGGATCCATGATGTGTCCGTTGATCTATCAAATTTGAATTCTGCTTTGTGTTCTTCCTCAAGATCTCGTCGGATTCCTGAAATAACTTATTCTTCAGCTGATCTCTATAAATTTCACCGTCAGTCTACAATTAAAACTCCAAATTGCTGTTCACTGCTTAAAGAATTAAATATTTTTCGCTTCCGTGGTAAACGTGCTGGTCGTCGCTTTCGCAGAAACTCTTCGCTAGTAAACAAGACTCCATCTGAAACTGCATCCATACCTTCTAGTAAAGATTTCATTCGTTTTTGTCTTCTAAATACAAGATCCTTGAATAAGAAAACCCTTCGCGTTAAAGACTATATCGTTGAACATAATTATTGATATATTTGCTGTGACTGAAACATGGCTAAAAGATGACTCTGACTTTGAAATCCGTGATGTGTGTCCCTCTGGCTACTCTATTTCTCATCTTCCTCGTAAAAATCGTTCTGGTGGTGGTGTGGCTGTTATTTATCGTAATTCCTTCAATGTAAAACTATGTGAATCTGCTGTTTATAATTCCTTTGAATCCATTGAGCTGAAATTTCGTTCGCATGACCAAGTTTTTTGTGTTGTTGTTGTTTATCGACCTCCTTCCTCGTCGTTTGGATCTTTCATTCAAGACTTTTCCTCATTGTTAGAACCGTTGTCCATTTATCCTGGTAAGCTTTTAATTTGTGGTGACTTTAATGTTCATGTCGATGACAAAAATGACAATTCAAGCAAGAAATTTTTGGATCTACTTGACTGTTTTTCTCTACACTGCATCGACACAACTTCCCCTACACACAAGAAAGGCCATGCTCTTGACCTTTTGATAACAAGAACTGATGATGTCTTCCTTCGTAATTTCTTTNCGCTTACTTGTGAAATTATGTCAGATTTTAATGTTTTAACCAATGGGATGGATGGATTATACAATGACACAACTAGCACCTTCTTGCATTCCATTGCCGTTTTCTTGCCTGCTTCTTACTCGGACCATTACTTAATGATTTCGCCCCAATACACTGTAGTGCTTATTATTATTTTAATTATCTGTTTTTATCATGTTCCGGTATAAATAGAGTATGGTTGCCATAGGAATCCAAGCAATTTGTATTTTGATTTAAGTGTTACGTAATCTAGCGCTAAAACGAACAATTAGGGACAAAAGACAAATTCTCGAAGCCATTAGTTGATCACGTCGCCGCACAGACAGTCGGCCCCAAAACATTAACACGAGAAATCATTTAAAAGATACAGTGCTTTGAATTGTTTTCGTTTGTTCTGAAATATGATGACTCGCAAAGCATGAATTATTGATACAGTCAACTCTCGCTATTACGGACACCCGTGGGACGATAATTCAGTGCCCGTAGTAACGAGAGTTACTTTCAGTCATTTCTTTGTTTTTTTTTTTGTTTTTTTTTCGCCGGGGATTCAGTATTTTACTGTCCGTAATATCGAGCGAGGTGTCCGTTGTAGCGGGTGTCCGTAAGTCAGAGTTCTGCAGAGTTGACTGTATTACAAAATCATGTATAATTTATCRATTGAGTAGTTCAGAAAATGACTTGGCAATCTGTCAGCTAGGCGTACTTGCTCCAAGACGTTCCACGGCGAAAGTCAGATTTCTGGTAAATTTGTGAGGAAGTTGTCCTCTTCTCCAAAACACTGGGTCAAGAATTATGGTAAGATATAGTAGTTGAATTATTGCTCAACACATTTTAGATTAATTCATTGAATCTATTTACACTTATGGAGAAATGATGAATTATACATCTCGCGAAACGGACCGTCGTTTTCTATGGGCCGCCGTCACCACCAAAAATACGATTGTGTTCAATGGTATAGGTTTCGATGTTCAATGGAGTAGCTTGTAGTCTATTGGACTAGCTAACGATTATCACTATTTGAGAGGTTATTTGCATTGTACACTAATTGTACTTTACCCCAAATGTCCCCATAAGTACAGAACAGCTCAAGTTAGATTAATAGTAGTTATCTATATATGCTTGTTTACAACTTGGTAGCAGCATAATCTTAATTAATATAATTTAAGGCACTATTGTGTTTTGCTTATTGCGTCACGTCGTTGCTTTGCTTGTTTTTGTAAATGTATTTCTTTGTGTTGTTGTTTGTTTTTTGTGTTTTTTATTTTGCTGTTTGTTTTTTCGTTGTTGTTTTTTTGTTTTTTTTTATGTTTTACTGAACTAACACAAGTCCTTTTTTTTCTTTTAAAAAGTAATGATTATAATTATTCAAAAGGTGTAAAACGGCTTATTTTATAGACACACTGCGAAAGTTTTATTTCAATAAAATCGGCAGCGATGATTTTACTTCACTTTTAAAGATATTTTTTCAAGGAGTCAAATAAAAAGGGKTTTTTTGAGTACTGTCGTAGTATTCTATGTCAACAAAGAGAGAAAAAATTAAATATTCAGAAATTTTACAGATATGTTTGTGACAATAATTAAGTAATGGTCCGAGTAAGAAGCAGGCAAGCAAACGGCAATGGAATGCATGAAGCTGCCAATTTTGTACTGTATAACATTAAAATTTGCGGACATAATTTCAAAAGTAAGCGAATTTTTTAATATCTTATTTAATATCTGATTCCGACTTCATAAAAGCTTTCCTTAGCTTTAATATTAATAGCAATTCTATGTGGGGAACATTGCAAATTAGAGGCATTTTTTGGCTATTATTTTGAGTGCTTATGATTGGACAAGATCTTTTAATACAAAAGAAACTTTGTTTCAAAACAGTGTTTATTCACATTTTATTTTAAAAATCTGTTACCCATAGGTTGATATATAATCAGTGTGAAAACCAAGACATTCGTATGTGGGGAAGTTGCAATTGCCGCAGAACAATATAGAAAAGTTGCCTGCTTTTTGCGCGAATTGTTGAATTAAAATTACAAGACGTTTTGCATGGTTTTATTAGTGTTTGCATGATACATCCTTATCATATATTGTTTTTTATAGTGATCAGTTTACTGATAATTTGACATAATTTCAGAACCAGTGGATAGCTCTTTCAGCATTGTTCCTGCTCAATCGTTCCACTGCGTATCAACAGTATTTCCAAATTACATCATCTATTGACGATGAGCAACAGTACGCTTACGGGTACACTCTGGACGGGTCAGTATACAGATCATTTGTAAGCGAGGGCAGCTCATTTTGTTGGGTCGAGTGCACAATAGACGAGCTTTGCAAAGGATGGAACTACGATATGAAGACAGGGCTGTGCGAGTTAAACAAGCACAGTAGATACATTGCTCTTCCTAAAAATTACCATGAAAAACACAACAGCATTCACTATTCAGTCCCTGGTATTCCAGGTATAGTATAAATGTGCGGCCAGACGAGAAATGTTGGATCAATCAACAAGTCTCCTTCACCAGCTTCACGGTTCCCTTCGCCATCTTGAAAGGTATAAGGCAAAGCATCGAGGCAAGTTGACCGTTGWGCGTGCAATGATAGCTAGAGATAGCTCTTACAGCCCGTGCAAATGCAAGAGATCTGTGATTAGAAGACAATTAAAACATTTTGAAATCTCACATCATGAGTTTTTATCTAAATTTCTGCATATTGTACACAGAATTGAGGATAACACAGTGTAAAAGACATCGCGAAACTCAACTGCTATGTCTATCCTTGCATGCTCAACTGTCGTCTCGCTTCGATGCAAAGGCAAGGCTACCTTCAAGATGGCTCAGCTGAGAACAGTAAAGGCGACTATTTATGGTGCATGGTTTTGGACTATTCAGCATTTCTTTTTGAGCCGATTCATACAAAAMTTTTAGACCTTTTTACTAATACGTCCGCCATCTTGAATTTTGAAGAAATTATTGGATGTCCAAGGGGCAAAAGCACAAATTGGTATCAAAATTACTTATCCAAAGCTACCATTTTTCGCGTTTTAAAGAATATTCTATCTCATAGCTTTCTAAAACCCTTGTAGTCTATAAATTTCTTGTTAAGTGACCCCTGAGCATCTCATAGTTTCTAAATGAATCCATAATTGACACAACAAAATTCAAGGAGTCCACATCAATAGAAATGTCTATTCACGTAAAATTCATTGTTCAGCATAGATCATTGTGAAACATTTTATTTGATTTTTGATTTTTGCGTTGACTGAGCCAGTTGCTATCAGTTTTTTAGTTGCATACCTGCAGGTCAATGCATGCCATTAGATATAAAGGTCTCAGGATGTAATACCCATGTAATACCCTTAAGTATACACCTATTTCAAAAAACGCTGTCGTCACCAAGACAGTATTGAGCCTGCAAATAATCTCGGAGTATCCATGCGTAATTAATTGATATATTCAAAATAAATTTGCCTAAGTGGTTGAGATTSAATGGCGGCAAACACTTGGGTATTTAACCAATCGAAGAAGTCTCGCCATAAGACATTTTCCTTGAAAAATGCTCCAGGTTTCCAAACCGTCAATTAGCTTCAAAGCTATATTCGCTACAAGACCGAGAATTCTGAGTAACTGAAGTATAGATTTAGAATTATAAAAGGACTGACGTTATAGCACTCGAATCACTACCTATCTCATTGTACCTAGTTACGGGCCAAGACTAGGGTTGTAGTCAAGATCGTATTGGAAAGTACAGAMCAAAGTATGGAAAGTGCTTGAATTTGGAATTCCTACTACACAAATACTCCGACTCCGACTGTGAATTGTTATTATTTTGAAATTATATATGAAATTATATATGGTAATCCCGAGATTCTTTGCAGGCTCAAGACTGTGGACTGTGTCCTGGTGACGACAACGTTTTTTGAATGAGGTGTATATTTTCATTCATGGGGGATGCACGTCTCTGTGACATTGCAAAAACGTGTAGTGGCATAGGCCGTACTTATAAGAGTACCTGTTTACGTTAGYCTATTGTTGTCTTGTACAGCTGAATGTAAAACATACAGAAACTTCACTGAGAGGGATCGAAATATCAAGAACAATATCATTGGCAAAGGATGTGACAGTAGGATTMAAAACGGCTGGTACAGATTTGTTGGCGAAGCAGGGTCACGGCTCCTTGACTCGTGTTCAAAAAAAAATTGCAAAACTGATTTTCGAATCTGGATGAAAGGTGGGCAGCCTAACATTGGAGATATCAGAGTTACACGTAAAACATGTAAAACAGCAGGGGGTGGTTGCTGTTTATGGCCTCGAAACATTCTGACGACAAATTGTGGAGCCTTCATTGTATATCAATTATCTCGTACAAACTGTTATGTTAGATACTGCGGTATGGATTGAAAGCCAYGAGAAATATAAAAGATAAATTCGTTGAAAACTGATATCTTGGTCTAATGTGGACTACTAAAAATACCTCTATCATGAGCACTAAATATGCGTTTAGATTATAGAAAGATTTAATGACAGATTGATGAAAGATTGATAAAAYTTTCAACGATACATCTACAGTATATTATCTTGATGAGTGTAAGCATAGCCGAACCTCTATTAAGTGGTCATCTTAAACTCATAATATCACGTGTGTCACGTGACCCACTTTTTTGGCTATTTGGCTTGAAGCTTAGGTTATAGGGTTAATGCATGTTGGCTAGGTTTTGATTCGCTTACTGGGTTAGGGCTAGAGTTAGTACCTAATATTTCTTTAATAAAAATACTTTATGACAGTGTACTCGAATCGAGCACACTCCCACGTGTTTCAACGYACTTTATTAGTTTATTACAAAAACTTGTCTTGAAAAGCGATAAAACCTAAGGAAAAGTTACAAATAAACTTATAACTTTTAAATCTTACAACAAATATCAAAATTGAAACAACAAAACACTTACAATATGGTGTCATATGCGTTTTTTGACAATGCTCTTCTCGAGTAGTATGGCGACGGCCATGTTTCTCTTTCTTTTTTCGYCTCTAATGCATTCTAGGTCAACCCTGGTTTCCCAAAAAAAACTATTAAATAGGTACTATTCCGATACAGGCAGTGAATTAGCTATAGTTCAGTTCCAACTTATCTGGACACATTTTCTTAATGGATATAATCCTAATGAAGACGTTTGAGCGCAAACAAATCTAACAGTTCACAAAGTTATGGGGCAGCTACTCCCGAAATACAACGTTTCATGTATTTTCAGCAAAATACACAAAAGTCGAAAGTTATATGGCTAGTGAACATGGCTAGTTCGTAATATGTATTGGAGTCTGTTTTTGTTTCAGTGCAGTTATCAGGCAGGTATGGTCTCAAATTTGGGTGGGAGGAGCTGGTAACGTGACTAACTCTRGCCAAAAAMCCTAGCCCGAGTCCCAAACCTAASCCAAACCCTAAGTAAAAATCTGAAGTCTTAACAGATAGAGGTACCGTACGCGTTTGATAGAGTTTCGACTGCAAACTAGAGTGTAAGTAAATTCAGTAAGCATTGGTCCAATAASGACTGTCATATGGTGAGACAAGAGAAAATGAGGTAAGAGAAGGAATCCCTGGTACTGCGTTCTTAACCCATCATATCAGCCCTTCGTTCTATTTTTAGAAAAAGAGCTATTTTTAGAAATGGAACATGATTGGTCAGATCGTATGAGGCGTATTCTTGCTGTTTACTTTTTCCCTCAATCGATCAAGGACAACATCCTTTCGTGTTGAATCTACAAATGTAAATTATGCGTTTTATAAATTATCTATTCCAGGTTAAATAATATTGCTCGAGAGGTCAGAGAATTCAAAGGTCAGATTGATCGAAAGCAGAAATTGCTTGTGCAACAGATGGCTTGCTTGCCATGTGGGACAGATAATTACTCAAAATGTGCTCTATTGTTTGTAGTAAATTACGCATATTTATTGACTACTGAAGTAAATAGAGTGTTAAATACGCCTTTTTACCGTTTAAAGTGACCTTACGCTGTAGTTTTAGTTGACAGCAGTCTCTCATGCGCAGAAACCTTTCCAAAAACAAAAAGCATGAAATAATGTCATCATTACAAATTTGCATTTTCTTTGATTTGAAACCTGTATTCCCATAAGGCGTAAACTCTAGGTCTTGTGGGAATACAGGCTTAGCCTCATATTTGAAAAGATTCAAACTCTTGTCACAACTGTTGTAGTTTCAACATTTGTTCGTGCTTTCCATGNGACTGTCATATGGTGAGACAAGAGAAAATGAGGTAAGAGAAGGAATCCCTGGTACTGCGTTCTTAACCCATCATATCAGCCCTTCGTTCTATTTTTAGAAAAAGAGCTATTTTTAGAAATGGAACATGATTGGTCAGATCGTATGAGGCGTATTCTTGCTGTTTACTTTTTCCCTCAATCGATCAAGGACAACATCCTTTCGTGTTGAATCTACAAATGTAAATTATGCGTTTTATAAATTATCTATTCCAGGTTAAATAATATTGCTCGAGAGGTCAGAGAATTCAAAGGTCAGATTGATCGAAAGCAGAAATTGCTTGTGCAACAGATGGCTTGCTTGCCATGTGGGACAGATAATTACTCAAAATGTGCTCTATTGTTTGTAGTAAATTACGCATWTTTATTGACTACTGAAGTAAATAGAGTGTTAAATACGCCTTTTTACCGTTTAAAGTGACCTTACGCTGTAGTTTTAGTTGACAGCAGTCTCTCATGCGCAGAAACCTTTCCAAAAACAAAAAGCATGAAATAATGTCATCATTACAAATTTGCATTTTCTTTGATTTGAAACCTGTATTCCCATAAGGCGTAAACTCTAGGTCTTGTGGGAATACAGGCTTAGCCTCATATTTGAAAAGATTCAAACTCTTGTCACAACTGTTGTAGTTTCAACATTTGTTCGTGCTTTCCATGCTTTTGCTGAGAAATTGAGTCTGTTGTCTACTAAATCAGCGCGCTTTGAACGTGAATAATGCTGCTTGTTGTTTTTCTTCTCCTTTTGTTTTAAGCTAATTCATGATTGTTAGTGCTGGAGTTTTATAAGTCGTGTGGGGAATTACAATCTCTTGCATGAGGCTCGAGCAAATCATAATTCACATACAACAAGGCAAAATAACAGTGCTAAATAGTGTTCCTTGTGAATTATAAGCCATTATAAAATTTTTGATATATAACGCGCGCTCTGATTGGCTGACGACCGTGTTTATATCAGAGGACAGAGACACGCCTACCGGCAAAATTTTCTTTTCGCTCGAAAAATTTTATAAAAGAAATATAAAACGCTACGCTCGTGTTCCTAAGCTTGCTTCTCTCGTGTTTTCCGAACTCCCACCGTGTTTATATCAGAGGACAGAGACACGCGCGCCGTTTTATATTTCTTAATTTAAGTTCACCACGCGTCTATCTAAAGATCTGGCGTGAGAAGTGCAGCACTAATGTAGGCGCTTTCTCTTCTGAAATAGAACATATCATTGAACGAAAGAACGCATTAACTGCAACGGATGGCCCCGACCTTCTCTAGCAGTGGCTCTGAATAATCTAACGATAACACCAACTAAGCTCAGTACGAAGAGATTCCTGAATATACAGGGTTCCCACTCATCTTTAAAAGTAAAATTCCCTGACTTTTCCCAGACCAAAAACCCTTTTTCAATGACCAGGTGACAAGATTATCTTTAGTCCTATAAACATAGCTCGCTGAAGCACGAACAAAAATTTCCCTGACTTTTCCCTGACTTTTTGATAAATTGTAAATTTCCCTGACCAAAATTCAAATTTCACTGACTTTTCTCTGAACCTGGGAACCCTGATATACTCGCGAGTTGGAGGTTGTTGTCCAAATATGTATATCGTTTACGTAATGATGTCACGATTATTTAGCTTTGATGATAAAAACCTTTGATCCCAGTGTTTTACCGAAATATAGGTGTTTATACCATACCACTTCTTTACCCGATTCCAGTGCTARGAATGAATAAATATCAAGTTATGTCATCAATTGCCTTTTTTGCTCGCAGCTAGAGCATCCAATAAAACCTTCATGGTTGAACGCAGCTCCGAGATTTCAGATTTCAGGTCTGAGATTTCTTCTGACAGTACATCTGTGTGTGCAAACTGTTCTTCTGATGAGGGACAGAGCTATAGGAGAAATGATATGCATGATCAGATTATCAAATTCATTGATAACTCATAAGGTAAACACAATCAAAAATCATTGCTCTGAATGCATCTTTATATGAGAAAGAGATTTGTCCAGATTTGCATACTGAAACTCGCTGTTTTATATGCCCATAAAGGTCTCCCGCTCATATTTGATATATTATACTTAGAAATACAACATTACAGGTCTATGGTCCACCGATTGTTTATGTTTGGAAGTAAAAATGCATAGTAATATAAACAAAAACCTACTCTTTTCAAATTATCCCTTTATCCTCTACGAATGAATGATTCGAACTTAATACCGACAGATGAAAACGGATTGGAAGTCACCTCATTTTCCATATAGAGCTATTTCAGAAAGCGTTGAATACTGACTTACTGTATACAGCTATTTCAATAAACGTTGTCAAGGAGAACGGCGAACGACGATTGTCGAAGGGAGAATACACGACCGAAAGGGACTATGGTTGCACTGCTTCGATAAACAGTCAAAAATTCACTTATTGGATTTACCTTACATAGAAATCGAGACTAAAGGATCCAGTGTTTACCACAGACTATGTTACAGTA